TAGGAAGCCCTATCCTAAAATCTACATGGACTCTTAAAAGATTACCCACAGGGAGCTGGAGATATGGCTCAGTGGTTAAGAGTGTTGCTTGCTCTTCCAAAGGTCCGGAGTTCAATTCCCAGCAACCACATGGTGGCTCACAACCATCTGTAAAGAGGTCTGGTGCCCTCTTCTGGCCTTCAGGGATACACACATACAGAATATTGTATACATAATAAATAAATATTTAAAAAAAAAAAGATTACACACAGCCAAAACAATTTTGAAAGAAATTAGAGGACTCATACTTTAAATTTACTGCAAAACTATAATTCAGTAATATTAACAGGGTGGGACTGACCTAAGATAGATTCATAGGGCAGTGGAATACAACACAGAGCCTATATAAAAATTTCCAACATGTGTGGTCAGTTGACTTTTGAAAAGATGCCAACACCATTTAATGAGGAAGCAATTGTGTGTTCAACAGGAAATGCTTGGAAAACTAGATACCCCCATGTAGAATGACAGTTGGGTTAATACTTACAGAGAAAACCCCACATGAAACAAAGTCCTGCACACAAGAACCCTCACAAGAAAGAATCAGGTAAAATCCTTATGACAATGGATTTGATAATGATTTATTGGTTGTGACACCTAGAAAAAAATAGACAACTTTCTCTAAATTAAAATTTTGGTGGTCAAAGGACACTATCAGATGAGTGAGCTGGACACAATGACAACTGTCTGCAATCAGAGCAGTTGGAAAGCAGAAACAGGAGGATGATAAGTTTAAGACTGTCTTGGGCTACATCTACATAGTGAGACCCTGACTCAAAATTAAAAGAGAGAAAGAAAAAGAAAGAAAGAAAGAAAGAAAGAAAGAAAGAAAGAAAGAAAGAAAGAAAGGAAGGAAGGAAGGAAGGAAGGAAGGAAATCCTCGTTTGTAATTGGCAAGGTAATTGCTAAACTTTCATTTCCTCCCAGACCTTCTCAAGCACCAACCACCTCACACCCACTGGATTCCACATAAAGTGAAGTTGGTGTCTGCTTTGCTTTGAAATGGCTTCCAGAAAATTAGCTCAACAAATTCTTTGGTAACCTGATTCAGCCATGTATTAAGCAGAATGATATTCATTCCCAAACCTTAACAACAAAATGACTGCTAATTTTCCCGTATGCAGGAATCATGACTGCAGAATATATGTCATCAAGTGCGTAATAGCATTGTGTCTGTAAAACACACACACCTTCATGTTAAAATGCTTTATTGTCTGAGATGCTAATGGCCATGTGAGCATTTGAAGACAGAGAGACAAAGCCCTTATACAGCGATGGGTCCTGCCTTTATGTTGATAGGTTCCAGCTGCTTGGAAGGGCAGGCGCTTGTCTTAGTTGCTCTTCTCATCCTTGTGGCAAAATACCTGACAAAGCACTTAAGGAAGAAGAGCTAATTTCAGCTCACAGTTCGATGGTGCAGTCCAGCATGATGGAGAAGCCATGACTGCAGGAGCATGAAGTACCTGGTCACATTGCTTCTGCAGTCGGGAAGCAGAAAGAGATAAACACTGGTGTCCTCTCTCTTATTTATAAGAGACCTTATAATGTAGCCTGGGACCCCAACCAATGGAATGGTGCTGCCCACATTTAAATTAGGTCTTCCTACCTCAGGAATGCGATACAAAGTAATGTAATTAGAAGGCTATTTAACTATGAAATATATGTGAAATATATGAAATATTAAGAATCAGCTGCAGAATGTATTTTTAATCTAAAAGTGACATTTGATTTTTATATGTGGGATGTTGAGACACAAAAATCCTGGATTATTACTTAGACACTGAGCAAATGTGTAACTCTGTTGCAAGGAAGACACTTGTTGGTTCCCGGCTGCTCAGCCCCAAAATAATTACACAGATACTATATCAATTAAATCACTGCTTGGCACATTAGCTCTAGGTTCTTATTGGCTAGCTCTTACATATTAATTTAACCATTTTTAGTAATCTGTGTATTGCCCGTGGCTATGGCTTACTGGGTAAAGTTCCATCTGGCTCCAGCAGGGCTACGTGGCTTCTCTCTAAACTCGCCTTCCTTCTCCCAGCATTCAGCCTAGTTTTCCCAGCGTAGCTCTGTTCTACCCTATCAGGCCAAGCCAGTTTCTTTATTCACCAATGCTTTATTCACAGCATACAGAGGGGAATCCCACATCATAACTCTATCTGTAATTTTTAAAGATTTGAATATAGATTTTATCCATTCACATGCCCTATAGTACAGATGCTTTATAACATCTAAAATGAACTTGTAAAAATAGTAATAAGCGAAGTGTGGTGATATCTAAGCCAGCAATCACCCAGCATAGAAAATGCTGAGTCAAGAAGATCATGCGTTTAAGGTCAGCATAGGCTACATAGTAAGATCTTGTCTAAAATAAATAAATAAATAAATAAATAAATAAATAAATAAATAAATAAATAAATAAATAAATACAAGTGCTGAAAAAGAAGGTATTTCTGAAAACCATCCATTAATATTCCCAACTCAATATAAAGAAAATTATGAGTTTTATAAAAGCACAATTTAGAAAATTAAAACTCATATAAGTATAAATGCCAGCTTCATATAAATGCATAGTAAACATTATCCCTAAATTAATGTTATTTAATTTGTGATGTAAGGCTAAACTACTTTTTGACGTAGTTTTCCAGATCATGTGGATTATTTGTTCACACAAACCACAAACGTTTCACCTGCCTATGATAGATTTTCAAACTAGTTGAATGAGTGAGCTAATAAAATTTTCAGAATATTATCTTCAGAACTGGGGCTGAAGAGATGGCTCAGTAGTTAAGAGTGCAGACGGCCCTTGCAGAGGACCTGTGTTCAGGTCCCAGTGCCTTGTCCGGCAGCAGCTTACAACCACGTGTAATTCTGCAGCAGGGAATCTAATACCCTCTTCTGGAACCCTCTGGCAACTGCACTCACACGTGTGTGGGGGGACATAAACACACAGACACCCTCAGACACACACGTGCACTATTAAAAAATAAAATCTAAAAAGAATTGTCTCCAGAGGAATGGGGTTGGAGAAATGGCCCATCAGGTGATAATGCTGGCCACTAAGTTGACGATCTGGGTTCATTTCCCAGGACCCACAACATGGAAGGAGAGAACGAACTGCTGAAAGTTGTCCTCGCATCTTCATGCACATGGCATGTCATTCTGCATCAATATGATAAACACATACACATAACAAAAACGAAAATGTTTAAGACGGACATAGTAATATACCCATAAGCTATTATAATTAGTCAATCTTTATTGGTCTAGAAAATTCCTAGGATTATTACTCACAAGTGCTCTGGTTTCACTTCCAAAGGAACTGAGCCAGGCTTGGTGTGAAAGGGAGCTGTCTGTTAGGTCAAGACCACCACACGTGGCTGACATGACGCATACACACAGGAGTGGGATGTCAGGTTCATGAACTGAGGCCTTCTGTATGGTCCTGGAGTATTTTCAGAGGGTGGCCGGACTTGTCCCTGTGTGCTCACGTGTCTATGCCTTTGTTTCTCCACCTCCTCCCATCCTGACTTTGCTGCCTCCCTGTTTGGACCACGTGACTACACAGCTGAAAAGAGGGGTGGGAAGCAGACTGCCAGGAAGCTGAAGGACAAGTAAACACACCCTCCTATAATGAAGCAAACCTCACAACAAAAGAGTCGCTTAGTCATAGGATTTTAATTAAAAGGTAAAAAGAACCGGGCATAATGGCATACACCTGCAGCCTTCCTAGTACTGGTGAGACAGAGGCGGAAGGATCAATGCCGGTTTGAGGACAGCCTGTACTATGTAACAAGTCCCAGGAAAGCCATACACAGTTAGATCCTGTCTATAAATAAATAAATAACAAAAATTTAAAGATTAAAAATGGTTTAAAAAACACTTTTGTTCCATGAATTACACTTTTTCTTTTTTTATTAATTGTTGTTTTCTCTAAGAGCATAGGGAACTAGGCATAAGTTCTTGGGTTTTTGTTTTTTGTTTTTTTTTTTTTTTTAGATCCAATTCAACATACTATTAATGTTTATAAGGAAGAAAAAGCTGTTGGGGCATTCACTAACAAGTCTTGTTCCACACAACCTGTGTCTGCACACACAGCAAATGTCTCGAACAGCCTGTGTCCTCCACATAGCAAGTGTCTCACACAGCCCATGTCCCCCTTGCACAAAGTGTCTCTGGACAACCCATGTCCCGCACAGAGCAAGTGTCTCTGTATAGTCCATGTCAGCACACAGCAAATGTCCTTTTTACAACCCATGTCAGCGCACAGCAAGTCTCTGCACAGCCCGTTTCTGCACATAGCAAGTGTCTGCATACAGCCTGTGTCAGCACACAGTGAGTGTCTTGCATAGCCTGTGTCCTCCACATAGCAAGTGTCTTGCACAGCCCCTGTCTGCACACACAGCAAGTGTCTGCACACAGCCCGTGTCCCCCACACAGCAAGATGCTTCTTCCCTCTTTCCATGCTTGCGCCTTAGGGTAAAGGCCACTCAGTGAGTAGAGTGCTTACTGGACAGCTCAGGTTGTAATATTAACACACTGTAAATGTAAATATCAACTTACAGAAAGAAAAGGCACCAAAAAAATACATCTTTATAAAAACAGTTAGATGGCATTAGTTGAGTTGTAGATGCATTTTTATGTGTCTCAACAACTAAGCTTATATGGAGTTGACATTTGATGAAGGCATAATTGTCATGCAGCCCCAGGTTTTATCTGGAGTAAAATACTATATGATCTAGTACAGATCTGGCATTCACACCTGACAGCAGAAATTAAGCTTTTTATTAGGACACAAAACCTTAATACCAACAACTATAAAAGCTATGAAAATTACAATATCATTTAGTAATATAGATTTTAATTACATAGTGTAGAACTATCAATAATATATTAGCATAATCTCTTGTAATGTTTCTTAAATACCATTGAATTTTATAAACATCTATACACTCAGTTAGGTTAGAGATTCAAGGCTTTTCCTGCCTTACATGATCTGTTGTACATGCCTTCATTATCTGTATCAAGGATTGCCCACACCCCCAGATATCAGGCGTATTCATGTTCTGATGTCAGATACAAAATGCAGGTTAAGCTCATGGAATACTTCAGAGTATACTGAGTGCCATTCACTGTATTTTTACAAATTAAAGATATATACATTGATATAATGAGTTTCACATTTATGGATATTGTAAATTAGTCACTTGGTTATAGGCCTTTCTTACTTTTAAAATATATACAGTATGCATTTTATGTTAGATATATTGGTGGAGATAGAGGTGTGGCTAACTATGTCGCCCTCGGGCTTTCTCTTACAAGTGTGACAAGTTAAGGAGGAACCAAGAAAAGTAAATATATAATCAAATGCTTTCAAAAACAAAAAGTGCAGTCTAGGGGTTTGGCTTAGTGACCGATGGCTTATTATATGGTACTGGGAAGCTTGAGAGGCCATGTTTAACCCTCAGCAATGCAAAATAAAAAGACCCTGTGATGGGTGGATGGCACATACTTGTAATTCTAGCATTGGGGAGGTGGAGGCAGGAGGGTGAGGAGAGTTCCTATAAGCTGAGCTACACAGTGAGTTCAGAACAGTCTGGGCTATGTACTGAGACCCTGACTCCAAAATAAAACATGAAAATAAAAGAAAGGAACAAAGTAGTATAGTCTGGGTTATTTGAAAACTCATAAAAGTTCTGTCCAAATGGAAGAATGAATTCTCACCCTCACTTCCATCTAAATATTTAACAGATCATTCACAACTGACTACAAGAGTAACTGATTAAAAAGAACTAGTAGTCGGGGTAACCTGAAGATCTTACATGTTATGTCTCCCAAACGCTAGGTATAAACTATTATTCCCAGAGGGTGTTGTGTTAGGAGTGGCAGGGCTGAGTCCCCGGCACCCGGCCGCCCACATGGCTAGCTTATGCCCCGAAATAATTACACGGAAACTGTATTCTTTTAAACATTGCCTGGCCCATTAGTTCCAGCCTCTTATTGGCAAGCTCTTACATATTAATCTAACCCATTTCTAATAATCTGTGTAGCCCACGAGGTGTGGCTTACCAGGAAAGATCTTAACCTGTGTCTGTCTGGAGTGGGAGAATCATGGCGACTCCCTGACTCAGCTTCTTTCTCCCAGCATTCTGTTCTGTCTACCCTGCCTACCTAATTTTCTGTCCTATGAGGGCCAAGGCAGTTTCTTTATTAGTTAACCAATGAAAGCAACTGATAAGATACAAGACCCACCTCCATCAAGAGGGTGGGCAGGAATATGTCTTAGCATCCACTAAGGTGTTATTATTTACCAAACACTGTGTTAAGATTGTTCCAAATCCTCCAATCACTCAACACTGTTACAGAAGTATTTATATTGTGTTCATCTATTCAAGGATAGCACTCAAGGAACCAGCCCCAAATGACAGAGAGAGCAAGCAAGTCTTAATAATTACACGTAGACTTGTTCTGCAGTGTGATAACCATGAGACACTGGAGAAAGTGCCCATGGACCTCAGTGCAGAGGCCAGGAACACTCAGATTCTCCATGTATTCATAAGCTTCTTGTTTCCATGGATCAAGAAGGAGCTGGTGACGTGAGTCATTGCCCTGCACACATAACCCTCTTACAACCCTCTCGTAACTGAGACCCTCTGCTGTGGCTGCAACATCTGTGCCAGCAGAGCATGTGCAGAGCTCATGACTGTATCATGATCATAAAGCACAAAGATATTCATGACCTAGTGCAAGATAACATGCCTTTACCAACGCACTAAGTTCAAGCTATCGTTTTCAATATGGCTTGTACTGGATATTTTTTTTATGACGGCATCAAATTCCATAAATATTACCTGTTTACACTTTGTCTTTGCTTTATGGTTTCCATTATAAACTTTATCTAGGAATCACAGTGCACCTTGTCTCCATTACACTCAACACGGAAGCACTGCCCTGCATACCAGCCTGAGAGGCGTTAATGAAGCCCTGCTATGCTGGCATCAGCTGAAGTCCCCTGTTTTCTGTGTTTTTGGTTTTTTTTTTTTTTTTTTTTTTTTTTTTTTTTTTTTTTTTTTTTTTTTTTTTTTTTTTTGCTTTTTTACACAATGAGTTGAATAGAGGTCACTGTAGTAGGGCAAAAAAATAATGTATTTCTAAGACTAAGGATGCAGCTCATTGGTAGAGTGCTAAAATAGTGTGCCCAGGGCCCTGGTTCAGTCCTCACTGCTGAAAACAAAACACGCACACACACATGGGGGGCAGTGGGAGTAATTGAATGTTTTGAAGGAGACCCTAAAGCTACAGTTTTCAGATTTTCAAGCAAACTCTAAAGTCTATTCAATATCTTCAGGCTATGTTTTTCAATAATTTCAGTTAATTAAGCCATATTAAGCCATGAAATGTTCTTCAATGTACATGTGATAAAAATCTCATTCTTAAGCTAGCTCACGGTTCCCACCACTTAAAAAGGCTTTATTGAGAGTTATTTCTAGCAAAAAGTGGAACAGACATGACTAAAATCAACGACTAAGGTTTCTAGAAGCCCGGAAGAGGCAATTGGGAAGATTATGATTTTGTTTCAATGTAGCACCATTTAGATGTATTTAGGGTTTGGAAGTGGTTAATTCTATATGGTGCAACAGCTTATACCTGGAAAGACTTTACAATCAAGAGGGCTGACTCTTAACATTGGCTGCTTAAAATGGAGAGGTTTCAAAGGCTGAGAAAGGCCTGAGCTTGGTTAAATGATTGAAGTAGATATAGGAGATAGTCACTAGGATGTTTTTACAAAGGCCCAGTACTGGCGTGATCGTCCCCAGGGTAACGATTAAGCTGAGTCTAAGGAAAATAAAGGGAAAATCCTGCAGCAGGACCCCCAGGAAGCCGAGAAGAGGGTTCTTAGGTGTGAAGACCATTCGAAGGAGAGATATAAAACTGAATATGTAGACCGGGTACACCCAGCCCGAGCTGTACACCTCTGGGAGCCCAGCCACACGCATCATTTCTATAGTGTCTGACCATGTGAGGAAGCTTCTCAGAAACAGCTCAGCCCGGACATCTCTGTGAGACATTGTTCTCCGGAATCCAGAGTCAAAGTAGGGCTCTATGGGCCCCGCCAGTGCATCCGTGTTGTTGTGAGGTAGGGACATCATGGTAGGCTTGGCTGTCTGGGCAGGTACAGGATTCTCATCACGTTTCACCTGTTCTGCCACGGTTTTTATCTGCTGCAAAGATGTTACATAGATGTTTTCGTCTTCATAACCTGAAAAACATTGATTAATTTGCATTTTAAGTACCTCTTTACTCTAAAAATGTTTGATTTATTTGTTACTAGACGGAGTTTGATGGCAACCCTATAATCCCAGTATGGGAAGGAGGACATGGAGGTTGGAGGATGGCAAAATGTAGGCTAATCTAGGGTACATAGCAAGACCCTGTCTCAAAAAAAGACGATGTAGGAGATAGATAGGTGATAAATGATTGATAGAAGACAGACAGCTAAGGCAATATTGATCAGTTAATAAAATCCCTTGTCAGGCAACATTGATGACCTAAGTTCAATGCCCAGAATTGTCTACCGAAAGTTCTCTGTCCTCCAAATGCCCATCTTGGCAAAAGCATGCCTGCATAGCAGAGATGATTTGTCCCATTCCTCCAGAGGATCCAAGGAACCTGAGTTTGGTTCCCAGCACCCATGTCTGGTGGTTCACCATATCAGCACCTGCATCTCAAGGGAGCCTCCAGTCCTCCATCCTCAGTGTGTAACTGCATCCACACATGCACATCCATCTACACAGATACGGACACGTAATGAAAACAAATCTTTAAATTTTAATCCTTAGAAGTCTAAAGTTTTGACATGGGAAAAATAATAACTGAGTGACATACTAAAAAAATATCAGAGATTCTTGGCACTGTGGCATTTTTTTTTCTGGATATGGAACCTAAGTTATATTCACATTTTGACAGAAGGGCATAACTGATTAGTTATTGGCTCCTTGAAACAAATGAAGAAATGACTATCAGTCAGTTTTACAGATCTAGCATCTGAAGCCCATGAGGCTAAATGATGCTCAAATTCAAACTCAGTGGCAGAGGTGGAGCCCTCTGTCTGAATTGCTCAACTCCAAATGACAGACTTTTAACATCGTGGCTGCTATTGTCAATGTAGAAGCAAGACAGTGTGAACTAATTATAAGAGATAAGTAGGAAAATCAAGTGAACTGACAAGCTTCACTCTGTAAGATGAAACAGGCTCTCAGGAACTGACTGAACTTTAATTCCCTAGCAGGGTTCAGTACTAAGAAGGAATCTGTTTGACCCACAGAGAATCATGAAAATAATTCAACTGTTCTTCCCCAGGAGTTTAAGAAGCAGCCGACAGGACTGGTCGGCTGAACCATCATGTTTGAATAATGAGACTGTATGCTAATCCATATACCTGTCAGATGAATGGGAAGATACCTGATCACTGTCACACTGTGTGTGTGTGTGTGTGTGTGTGTGCAGATGAATGTGTGTGTGCAAAGATGTATGTATGTGGATGGGAGCAGTTAACTCTGAGTGTTGTTCCTCCAGTGATGCCCACCTTGGTTTATGTTACTAGATCTCTCGCTGAGAACAGGGTTGGACTGTATAGGCAGAAATACCAAGAAAATCTACCTGTCCCCACCTCACCAATGTTAGGCTTACAAGTACTTACAATAGCCAAAATTTTTACATTTCTTTGAGAGTTGTTTTTTATTTTATTTGCATGGGTATGTTGTCTACATGTGTGTCTCCACCACACATGTGTCTGGTGCCTACAGAGGCCAGAAGAGGACATTAGACCTCTTATAACTGGAGTTACAGGTGGTTGTGAGCCACCATGTAGGTGCTAAGAGTCAAAGCTCTGTTCTCTGGAAGAGCAGCCATTGCTCTCACCTCTTAATCCATCTCTCTATCCCCATGTCCAGACTGTATGTGGGTTCTGGGGACTGAGTCAGGAACTCATGCATGCTTGCAAGCCCATCACTGGCTGAGCTACCTCCTGAGCCCTATAGCACACCATTTGCCAAACACCCATCCACTTAAACATCATTTTGTTGTTGTTGTTGTTGCTAAGATTTTATCAGCCTGGCACAGTTTACTGGGAAAACAAACATCCTGAGAGGTCCTGCTGCCTCAGAATACAGAAGGTAAAGGGAGTGTTAGGGAGGAAGAACTGAAAGTCAAAGGGATGATGGTTGATGTCAAGAAAAACTTGTTGGACTCAACGTGAAAACATTGTGAGAGAAGTAAGTTTTGATTCATGAAAAAGACACTTAGTTACTAAGTTAAGAGTATTTATTAGGTATTCAATAAACCTCTGTGATTTTTCAAACTAAGTATTTTTATAAACTACAAAGATTAAATTTTTTTCTCTTTTGTTTATATGTGTATATGATTGGGTGTAGTATGTGCATGTGTGTATGTGCGCGTGCGTGTGTGTGTGTGTGTGTTTTTTACATTTAGAAGCCAGAGGTCAACTTTACGGGCCTTCCACGATTGTTCACTTTCTCTCTCTCTTTTTTTTAAAATAAAATGTAATATTTTCCTTTGTTAAAAATAGACTTTTTCCTTACATAATATATCTTTATTACAGTTTCCTCTCCTTCTATTCCTCCCAGTTCCTCCCTACTTCTCCATTCAGATCTACTCCCTTTCTGTCTCTCATTAGAAAAAAAAACCCAGGATTTTCCAAGATAATAACAAAATATAGAATGATAAAATAAAACAAAAACTAATACATTGGATTGGACAAGACAAACAGAAGGAAAAAAGGTTGGGAGAAGGCAAAAGAACTAGAGACACACTCAGGGATCCCACAAAAACACCAGAAACACCGAACTGGAAACCATAATATATACACAGAGGGTCTGGTGCACACTCATGCAGGCCCTGTGCATGTTCCTTTGGTCTCTGTGAGTTCACATGAGTTCTGTCTTGTTGTTCTGGTGTCCTCCATCACCTCTGACTCTTATACTTTTTCAGCCTTGTCTTCTGGGGGGTTCCCTGAACTCTGCAGGTAGGGATTAGATGAAGACTTCCCATTTAGGGCTGAGTGTTCCAAGGTCTCTCGCTCTCTGCATAATATCTGGATAAAGATCTTTGTAGTCTCTGTGGCTGAGCAACAGCTTTGGTGACCAAGAACCAGAGAGTAAATAGTCCAGGAACTTAGGGTAAAACCAAATTCTACTGTTCTGGAGAAAAGAAGTAGCAACAAAATAACTCCTAAAGACATTTGGTTATGCTCATAGATCAGTGTTTCCCACATTCTTTTTTAAAATTTTTAGTTAAAAATTTTTCAGACAATTTATCTTGACTACATTCTTTCATTTTCTCAAACTCCTCCCAGATCTCCCCGTACCGTGCTTCCCACCTAACCTGACGTTTGTTCCCTCTCTTTGATTTTTTTGTTCATAAAAGGTAAACAACTAATTCCCACGTCTTACCGTTTTTCCTGTGCATGTTGTGTACTCTGGTTATCCCAATTTTATGATCAGTTTTCATGTTATTGAAGTCCAGCCTTAGTAACATATTTCTAAAAACTTTACTTATTATTGCTACCAGTTGTTTTTATTTAGCTAGTTTTTTTTTGTTTTGTTTTTTAAGAAAAGGTCTCTCACTGAACCTGGAGCTCACTAAGGTTTGCTAAGACTGCTTGGTCATAAGCTTCATATCTGTCCTTCTCCATACCCCTCTCTGTACATACCTCAGCACCCCAGTGCCTGGTTTTCTGCTTTCATGCTAGGGATCCTTAAGAACGTGGATCTAGTACTTGTCTGTAACCCCTGGGTACCTCTTTACCCAAATTTGAAGCCACAGTGTCTGAATAGATAGCATTTCACAAACAATACTAAGAAAATGTGACATTCCATAATTTATTACTGCTTTAAAATCTGTAAAATTCTCTCTTTAAACTCAAATGTTCACTTCTATATTTCACTAACTTTTAAAGAATTCAGTAGACTGTTGAAGAGATAGCTCAGCTGGTGGAGTACTTGCTGTGAAAGCATGCCAACCTAGGTTTGGTCCCAGAAGTCATATTTTCTAAAAAAAAATTTCTGGATGTGGATAAATGGAGATAGGCAGCAAGGATTTAATGGGCAGCCAGCCTATCAAAATTATCAAGGACCAAACCTGTGGAGAATCTTGTTTCAAAAACACAGGGAGCTCAGGTTGACCTCTGAGCTCTCTATGTATACACTGCTGAGTAACAGTTTTCTCCATGATTGAAACAGTCCCTCCTATAGGGAATCTCTTTAAGCAGGGAGGCAAAGAACTCAAAACAGCTTTAGGAAGTCCCTGAAGCTGACCAGATTCACTAGGCCGCTCCCTGCCGGAGGAAACAAAGTTGAGAGTCCCTCTCAGACTAAGGAAGCTGAGTTGCAAAGAAGACTCTGTAGTCAGACCAACTACCTGGAAGAGATTTAGACCAATTGAGGCACCCAGGAAAGACACTCTTCCAAACTGTTGAGCTGCCTGGAGGCTGTGCAAGCTCCAGGTTCCCAACTTTTGTGAGCTGTTACCCATACTGGGTTGGGCTTTGGTGACACAGCTGTCTTTGAGTCATTTCTGCTTCTGTAAGTAACCACTCAACCATATTCCTGTAAGTAACCCCAGTTAAATTCATTGGTTCACCAAGTTGGACTTCAGTGGTCTCTGTACTTTGTTCTGTTGTGGGCTCCTTATCTGAGGTGAATAGATAAGGATGCTATATCTCCCCCTAAAAAAGTTTTTATTTTTCACATAACACACACACACACACACACACACACACACACACATATGTATATATGTGAAAGAAGTCAAGAGAAATTTTATTTCTTAGAGTATGCAATGGCATAGAGAATTCTCCTTTGCTCCACTTAGAAGACAAAGTTGTTTGTATGAACAACTAAATCTTGAAAGTTGTACAAAGAAAGGGAGGTGCAAAACAAAAGTACTGGGATATATATTACAAAAAAGCAGAAGGGGGTCCCTATTTGAGAGGATGGAGGGGACCAGCGGGAGAGGAGAAGAGAGGACAGAGAAAGCCAAGGGGATATCTATGAGCTGAATAGGATTGCAGCACATCAATAAAAAGAAAAACAAAAATTCTTTTGCCAACATTAAGAACACCGTGCACATTGCCAGCTTGACAAACGATTGCAAACTCAGCTTGTTTCAAGGCCAGGAAGTGGCACTGTAAGAAGTGATACATTAACCCATCATAAATGGTCACTGAGAGTTGTGCTATCT